TGGAAAAACACCAAAGTCCCACAGAATTACATGTGAAACAGGAAAAAGACAGAATTACATGGAAAACGCAAAAAAGTCACTTTTAATAGTTTTGTCCATTCCAGCCAAACTAAGTGAGAGAGCCACACCAAACCACTCTATAATGTACAAGTCACCGCTGTGAAGCTTCCTGAGGTGGAAACTGGCAGATAGGTGCTTCTGGAAGAGAATGGCAGCTTGTGTTAAAAAGCTTGTTTTCTCAGCCTGAGAAGCTCATTCGGCACACTTAGGTGGAAAAACACCAAAGTCCCACAGAATTGCATGTGAAACAGGAAAAAGCCAGAATTACATGGGAAACACAAAAATTCACTTTTCATAGTTTTGTCCATTACAGCTAAACTAAGTGAGAGAGCCACACCAAACCACTTCATCCATCACTTTAATTATGCCACTGTGAAGCTTTGCAAGTCCAAAATGAATTATACTGTGGTCAAGTATTCCCTCTTTTGTCGAAAAGGCGTAACTGCAGTTGGAACACAGAAAACCACTCTATAATGTAAAATTCACCACTGTGAAGCTTTCTGAGGTGGAAACTGACAGATAAGGGGCAGAACTCAGGTTGCTGATGCGTGCAACTGCATAAAAGGTGGGCCCTGGGGTGATACCAGTGGGTACTGGATTGTAGTGCAGTGTCCCTTCAGCAGTGTGAAACCACTTAATTTTCCAATGATGAGACATCCACTCACCCGCCGGCTCCACTGTCTCTGCCATCAGCTGCTCGGCCTCCACCGCTGTGTCTGTATCGTCCTCTTCCCCTGAGGAAGAGGAATCAGGCACTGGCTGGTACTCCTCATCAGTGGTGTTGCTGTCATCCTCTGAGGAGGGTGTCCAATCATCTTCAGGATGCCGCTGTAAAGCTTCCTGAGGTGGAAACTGGCAGATAGGTGCTTCTGGAAGAGAATGGCAGCTTGTGTGAAAAAGCTTGTTTTTTCAGCCCTGCACACTTAGGTGGAAAAACACCAAAGTCCCACAGAATTGCATGTGGAACAGCAAAAAGCCAGAATTACATGGGAAACGCAAAAAAGTCACTTTTAATATTTTTGTCCATTACAGCCAAACTAAGTGAGAGAGCCACACCAAACCACACTATAATGTACAAGTCGCCGCTGTGAAGCTTCCTGAGGTGGAAACTGGCAGATAGGTGCTTCTGGAAGAGAATGGCAGCTTGTGTGAAAAAGCTTGTTTTCTCAGCCTGGCACACTTAAGTGGAAAAACACCAAAGTCCCACAGAATTACATGTGAAACAGGAAAAAGACAGAATTACATGGAAAACGCAAAAAAGTCACTTTTCATAGTTTTGTCCATTACAGCTAAACTAAGTGAGAGAGCCACACCAAACCACTTCATCCATCACTTTAATTATGCCACTGTGAAGCTTTGCAAGTCCAAAATGAATTATTCTATGGTCAAGTATTCCCTCTTTTGTCGAAAAGGCGTAACTGCAGTTGGAACACAGAAAACCACTGTATAATGTAAAATTCACCTTTGTGAAGCTTTCTGAGGTGGAAACTGACAGATAAGGGGCAGAACTCAGGTTGCTGATGCGTGCAACTGCATAAAGGGTGGGCCCTGGGGTGATACCAGTGGGTACTGGATTGTAGTGCAGTGTCTCTTCAGCAGTGTGAAACCACATAATTTTCCAATGATGAGACATCCACTCACCCGCCGGCTCCACTGTCTCTGCCATCAGCTGCTCGGCCTCCACCGCTGTGTCTGTATCGTCCTCTTCCCCTGAGGAAGAGGAATCAGGCACTGGCTGGTACTCCTCATCAGTGGTGTTGCTGTCATCCTCTGAGGAGGGTGTCCAATCATCTTCAGGAGAGGACGTGTCCTCATCTTGGGTAGAAGATGTCTCCTCAAGCGCAGAGGATTTCTCCCCACCTTCCCTGACTGAGCCCATCACATACTCAAGTGCTTCATTCAGTGAATATGACCTTTTCGCCATCTTGCCAGAGAAAGAATGATCTGGGAGCTGTTAGGCTCACTTATAGCATTAGTACTGACTGCACCTGCATAAACTCCAGGACAGATTTATAAACATTGTCAGACTTTGTTTTTGTTCACCCCGAAGTCAAGATGACCTGTGATCCTTTTTTTTTTTTTTTTGGAGAGCAGCTATTTGAGTATGTAAGGGCTATTGTGTAGTTGTGTGTGGCATTCTTTTACAAAAAGATCAAAGCTACAGGTGTTTTCAACTTGTGCATCAAAGCCAAGTTTGCCTTGGAAACTCAAAGCTCAATAGCCTGTACCAAAAGAAATTCACTGAAACTTGGAGGTATGCTACACTGTAATTTATGTCACTCTATCTTGCAAATACATATTTATAGGCACATTTTTTTTTCATGCACAAACACACATCATTATCTGACATCCTTAAGATCACACCTATGTCAAAATTGTGTCATTCATTTGCTCCATTGGAGTGCAGTAAGCCATCATACGCCCCTAGTGGAAACTAAGAATATTACCTGAAATTGCTCCCTTGGCAAAAAATGGACAAATGACATAATCTGGTAGAAAACATTAAAAACTAAAATTTTCAATTGTTGAGTTTAGAATGAAAGCCATTTTACCTAAAATTATATGATTTAATACTGCACATCACAAGGAATTTTAAAAAAAATGTTGTCATGGGTTTCAATTGGCCAAAAGTGTCCATGATAGAGCCACGAGGTACAATTGGAGATATACAGTATAATATTGACATATTTAAAGAGCAGGTTTTGATAATTAAAAAATCTGAAAAAAATCCAGACCCTTGGGCAATAACATTCCATATGCATTAACACAGCTAAAATGGTCAAAAAAAAGGAAGTGAATTGGACACAAACGGCCAGCATAGAGTACAGACGGTTAATAGTTTTGTCCATTACAGCTAAACTAAGTGAGAGAGCCACACCAAACCACTCTATAATGTACAAGTCGCCGCTGTGAAGCTTCCTGAGGTGGAAACTGGCAGATAGGTGCTTCTGGAAGAGAATTGCAGCTTGTGTGAAAAAGCTTGTTTTCTCAGCCTAAGAAACTCATTTGGCACACTTAGGTGGAAATACACCAAAGTCCCACAGAATTGCATGTGATACAAGAAAAAGCCAGAATTACATGGGAAACGCAAAAGAGTCACTTTTAATAGTTTTGTGCATTACAGCCAAACTAAGTGAGAGAGCCACACCAAACCACTCTATAATGTACAAGTCGCCGCTGTGAAGCTTCCTGAGGTGGAAACTGGCAGATAGGTGCTTCTGGAAGAGAATGGCAGTTGTGTGAAAAAGCTTGTTTTCTCAGCCTGGCACACTTAGGTGGAAAAACACCAAAGTCCCACAGAATTGCATGTAAAACAGGAAAAAGCCAGAATTACATGGGAAACGCAAAAAAGTCACTTTTAATAGTTTTGTGCATTACAGCCAAACTAAGTGAGAGAGCCACACCAAACCACTCTATAATGTACTAGTCACCGCTGTGAAGCTTCCTGAGGTGGAAACTGGCAGATAGGTGCTTCTGGAAGACAATGGCAGCTTAAATGAAAAAGCTTCTTTTCTCAGCTGTTGTTCGACGTCATCCCGAGCACATGGTTACTTATCATATGGCGAATTAAAGGCCCCTGCACGCATTTAAAGCAAGGAGACCTGTTTTGTTAAATGTGCATTAATATTTGTATCGTTTTGGCCTCCTGAATGGCTCCAGGTTTAAAAAGTCAAGTTAAAAAGTATTTAAATAGACATGACAAGGTTTTAATCAATTCAATATTTATTAGGAATGGTCAAAATGTATAATAGATAAGCTGGGAAAGTGCAATGTAGCAGCAGCATTACACACAGTAACAACACACAGACATATCAAAAAAATCAACATAGAATGCAATATAAAAAATGGATAAATAACCAGTATAATTGCAGTGCAAACTAAAAATAAAAAATATAAGGTGCAGTGAAAAGATGAAACATATAAGGTGCTTGGATAATAGTACAGTAAATATTTAAAAAAAAAAACTTTTAATGTCTTTTTAAACTCTTCTCAGCCAGCCACTGTGTGTCCTCCAGGGCCCTCTTCCACAGCACAAAAGTATTGGCCCTTGAGGTAAGTGTGGCCACCATCCACCGTGCATGCTTGGCCACGGATGTTGCAGGGGTCACCAGGTTTGTGCTGTGGCTTTCCCCTGGTACTTTGCGAGGACTTTTTTGTCTTTTGCTGCTTTAATTTTGCGCCTGTACACAGTGCAACGGGTGGGCTTGCTGGTCCCCGCCACTGGCTCTGCTGCCTGAAGCCGTCAAGGAGAGGAGCTGGAGGAGGAGGAGGAGGAGGAGGATGTGCAGTCGTAGTCCACTTAAATACAAATACAATACAGAACTCTGTTAGTCAAGGTACATAGAAACACAGATGCAGTTTAACAAAGTATATTTCTAACAAACCTAATGAAGTGACGTGTTTGGTTTTCCGCGTTGCTTTTCTGCCTTCCATTCTGTCCAACTAAACCCTCAGCACCCCCTGTTGTTTTACAGTGTCCATTTGAGGCCCATTCTCACCTAGTCTCTAGGTAAACCTTTGAACCTGACCCTGGGTTGACCCCTTGACCCTAGTTTTAAGTGAGGAGAGGGAATGATGTATTGTGTGACTGTTACCTGTGGGAATTTAGTGATATCAGGCACCTAGTCTAGATACCTAGTCTTCCCTATATTTATTTAATTTCTTAAAGACCGAAAGAAGCAGGAGAAAGCATTGGTTTAAAAAGAAAAGTTTATTTAAAACAAAAACAATTAAGACAGCAATATACAACTATATAGATATATATTGGAATTTCCCCATTGTGGGACAAATAAAGGAATATCTTATATAAGACAACTATATACACAATATTTATTTAGCAAACATAATTGACAAACTAAATACACTATATACACAATATTTACAAATCCCTCCCTCCCAAACACACACACACACACACACACACACACAACAAAAGCGTTCGCTCAGAGAGGGGGAGCCGCCCCATCACTCACTCACACACACACACACACACAAAGTGAAGTGTTCGCTCAGGCAGGGGGGGCTGCTCCATCACGCCCCTTCACCTCTGCCAGCCACTGCTCCACAGTTCTCCCTTTCCCCTCGGCCCGGGAGCAGAAGGTCTCCTTCTTGTAGCGGCTGTGGCCAAACGCCCGCGTCTTCGGTTGGCCACTGCGCCTGCAGTTAAAGTGGGAGACCTTCTTTGCTGGTTTTAAGTGTTCTCCCAGCTCCCGGCACCATGCTCTTTCTCCTCCTGGAGCTTGCGCCTCCAGGCGGTGTTCCTTGGCACTGGTGGAGCAGTGGCAGCTGTGGCTGTGGAGGGGATGTCACCGGCCTCCGCACTGACGCTGGTTGACAGGACGGCGTCCGCGCTGGAGGCTTGTGGGGTGGCTGATGAGGAGGAGGAGTAGGCAGTGGAGGAGCTGGCGACGATGAGGTCCAGGACCAGAAGCGTCCGTGGGCAGGCGGTGCTGGAGGGGCTGGTCTGGCTGCTCAGGCTGCTGCAGCACAGTCGGTGGGGCAGGCAGGGGCTCCGCTGCAGTCTGGGGAGTGCTGGGCCCCAGGACTGCAATGGCGATGGTGTCCCTCATCATGGCCTTGCTCCTCTGGTTGTGCCTTAAAAAACAGAATGTAACAAATGCACATTAGTAATCATGACATCACACACACACACTCACACAGTGCCACTTCAAATCAGATGTGAGAGAAAGGATCAGGTCTTACCATTGTGTCAGGGTCCGCCGATTGACATCATATAGCTGGATGCGGGTGCTCGTCATGAGGGCTGCACAACTATAAACATTCTCGCGAATTGTTAGATAGTCCCTCATGACGGCACCCCAGCGAGGAATCCAGACCCCGGCAATCTTCCTGCCCTCGCTGCAGTGGAGGATGCTGAGGTCCAGCAGGACAGCCCCCACAAGCCTCGACACATCGGGAGACTGCGCCGCTCCCGCCCCCTTGCCCAGGACCGCACTACATAGACAGAGAGAGAGAGAGGAGAGAGAGAGAGAGAGAGAGACAGAGAGAGAGAGAGAGAGAGAGAGTGAGTCAGTGAGTTAATTAGTGACTGACAGGACAGGACAAGAACCAAAAAAAGCTTGGAAATTTATTGTGACTGCTTACCACTTCACACTATCCACACCCCTGGCATGTGAGCGTGCCGCTGGGTGGTCCGGAATCGGCCTTGGACAAGCCGGCCCTGGTGACGGGGGGGGGGGGGGAATTTGACCGCTGCCTTGTCCCAATCACTCAACTTCAGCCAGAGAGCGGTGATCTCTCTGGCTTGCCTGGGAGTGACGTAGCGGCGGTGGCGCAGTTCCACGAGGGCCTGGGCCAGGGCCACGACGTGCTGGTAGCTGCCTCCACCTGGCCCGATAACATCCTCCTCCTCCTCCTCCACAGCCTGCTGCACCTCCATTTGGTCCACGCGGGTGAGGTTTGAGGACTGAAGGAGAGCGCTGTGGTGTTCGAGGAGACGAATCTCCTCTGGTTCCTCCTCCTCGAACTCTTCATCACTGCCCCCCACCCCCCCCCGGCTTCGTCCTCATCAGTCCCTCCTGGAGCGTCAGGATCATCCAGGTCCTTCTGCAGCACAGCGCCCGTCTGGGAGAACAGGTACTCCACCCCAATGAGTTCCCCTGTGGGCACACAGAGACACAGATGTTAAATGACAGACACCTAAGACAGGTGTTAAACGTTACCGTTACCTCAGACAGATTTATGACTTACCTGTGTACTCCCTGGGCATGGTGTACGTGTCGACCAGCGTGAGCCCAAGAAGCTCTTGGGTCAGCTGGTCGAAGCTGTGCTGCAGCTGGGCACTGTAGCAACGCAGCGCCGACCTCTGTCCTCCCTCGATTCTCGTTCCACCGCACCAGGCCCTCCAGCAGGTACACCTGGAAGTGTACATCACTTGCAGATTGTCCTAAGCAGAAACAAAGCAACACAGTTAGTGTGAGGACAAATAAACACACAAATACATAATTGAGTCTGTGTTGTAAACCACACATGTACTTACCTGGGATGAAGCGGCACAGGTGCAGGTGGAACGATTCCAGGGAAGTGGAGCCTCGGCCGCACCGGTAGACGGGGAGCCTCACCCCGCCTTTGGTGAGCTCTCCCGTCTTGGTGTAGAGGTCCACTCCCGCAGGGTCCTGGATTCAGTCGAGGTGTCGGCGCAGCGTGCTCCAGATCTCCTCCATTCGGGCGCGGTCGATCAAAGGGACGCCCATGCTGTCCGTCACGTGCCAGAAGGTGTCCAGCACCTCTTGGACCAGCCGCTCCGCCTCCACTGCACCCCCTGGTGCGGCGCCGGCAGTGACGGGCGAGCTCCTTGGCGGACAGCTTGACCTCCTGGGCGTCCCTCCCCTCCTCGGACTGCTTGGCTCCTCTCAGGCGGGACACGTCTTCGGCGTCCCACTCAAAAATGGCGAAGGAGAGCCTCGCCATGAAGAGGCCGTAGAGCTGGTGGCTGTCGGTGGTCACCCCTCTGGCGAAACGCCGCATGAGGTGCCACACGTCGAGCCTGACGACCAGCTCGTGCCACTCGTGGAACAGCTTGGACGTTTGACACTGTCCCACGGTGGCACAGCAGTCCCGGTCCACGTACAGGACCCTTGGAGGGGCCTTCCCGGCTTCGCGGTACCATGCCATGTCGACAAGTCCGCCCCCCTCAGCTGCGGTGAGGACGGACATGAGCACCTGCCCGTACTCATTGCCGACGTTGGTGACCCAGGCGGCCGTCCCGGCAGCACCGCCCGCAAGCTTTTTGGTGATCTGTGTGACACAGCAACACAACAACATTCAGACACATGACAAAACAAACATTACACTGGGTACACGGCACGCTGTGGTGGATAACAAAACCTACCTTCTTGGTGGAGTCCATCTTCAAAAGATCACCAAAGATGGAAGTGACTCTGGCTCTCGTCTCGTCGAGCCTCGTCAAGGCGTCCCTGACGTAGACGTTGATGAGCCAGAGCACTGTGGGCACCGGGTGCATGGTTGGGAGCGACGACGCCGCCAGCGGCGCAGCGCCCGGTACCCGAAGCTTGCGGAGCACGGAAAGGTACAGCATCGACCGCGCCATCCACTCTCTGGTGTGCGCTCCACCAGAGAGGCACGGAGGCGAGACGCACTGTTGCCCAAAGTGCGCTCCTTCATGAGCCCGATCACAGCTCTGTCGCAGGACAACCTGGGAGGGGAAAGAGGTGATCAGAGGTTACTGGAGAAAACCACAGAAATACATTACTGTTGCTGTTACTGTTTACATTACTTACTTGTACGTGAGAACTGCTGGAAACTGCTCACGATGGGCCATGTCCAGCTGTCCCAAGATGTCCTGCGACCATCCCGGCATCTTCTTGTGACAGGAGCTGCATTCCAGGTACTCCGTGCCCATGAAGTACCAGCAGCTCCTGTCCAAGACCCTCCTCACCGTCTTGTAGAGGCCAGCTCCCGCAAGCTTGCCCCCACAGGCGACGATGGGGCAGCGGAGGGGGTACGCCCACATCCTGTAGGGCACCCACAGGAAAAAGGGACTCTGGAAAAAGGGGTGGGCTGTGGCGGGTGGCTGGGTGTAGAGGGGCCGGGCACCTTGGTGGGTGCCACCACAGGCGGAGTTCAGATGTGAGGACACCCTGCCCGTTGGGTGCCCTCCTGAACAGTGCCCAGCCCACCCAGTCGTGCTGCTCTTCGGGGAGCGTCAGCCTCCAGCCACGTGGTAGCAGCTGAAACACACAGCAGTGTCAGACCGTTAGTGTACTGAACACAGACACACACACACTACAACACAATATGTCATCACTGAGCATACCTGTGCGCCGGGGCCTGACCTCTCCCCACAGGTGTTGTCCTGAAGGGGACGTTCCGGTGGCTGGGAGAGAGAGAAGGGGGGCACGGCTGATGGGGCATCCCTGCACGGGTCGACCTCCATGGCGGCAGCGAGCAGGTCAGCATCCGAGGGTCCATCCTGGGGACCAACAGCGTCCAGGGGTGGTTGTGGTGGTTGTGCTGCCAGGGCTGCCTTCTCTGCATCCCGGGCCTGCACATATTTTTTTAAGTCCACCAACCTGGACGCTTTGGCTGTGGGTGCCGCCTGCCTCACAAACTGTACATAGCTAAAAAAGAGAACAGAAATGCAATGGGTAAAAAAGTCACGCACACACACAGACATACACACACAGACACAGATACACACACAGACACACACAGACACAGACACACAGATACACACACAGATACACACACAGACACACACAGACACACACAGACACACACACACACACACACACACACACACACAAAAACTTACCTTGCCCGCTCACGGTCCGTCGACTCGTACAGGGTCTTGTAGGTCAGGTCACTATGAACACCGAACCCCACCAGCGTGTCGTCCACGCCCCTCATGGTCTGGGGACTGCCCTCGAGCATCCTACGCCTGTCGATGGCTGCCACCATCGGCGGGAACAGCCTGGCGTAGGAGACGAGGGCGTCTTTGTGCACCATGAGGGCATTCTGCTGACTAGTGCCCCCTTTGTCTCTCTCTCCCTCGTGGGACACACAGATGGTGACTGCGTATCCCACGTCATTCTCCAGCAGCCACCGGAACGTCTGACCACGGTACTGGCCGAGCTGCAGCTCGCTCTCGGCCAGCACCTGATGGTGATCGGTGGGGTTACCTCCCTTCTGCACCACCCTGTCTCTTGCCTCAGAGCGCACCAGCTCAGGGGTCTTAACCACCACCAGGGCAGTGGCAGAGGCAGAGGCCCCCCCTCTGGCGGCGGCTCAAGGCCAGCGCCTCCTGAGAGGCCCGCAGGGTCAGGTCAAGGTTTGCCTCAAAGCGGAAAATAGGCTGCATTTTCTAGAAAGACAAGAAATAAGATTTAAGTCAGTAATCTGCTACACATGCACTGTTTACATCCTACTGACAGTCTATTACTGTACTCAATGATACTGTGCCCATTCATTAACATACATTCAACATCAGGCGTCCTGTTTACACATTTAAACCATATTTACACTTTGAATTTTGACTTCAAACTGTAGTAACTACATCTACAGGGTCTAAGGAAGATAATCAGGTAGTCTGTTTAAAGATTAAATACATTGTGAGAGATCGCCAGCCCTCAGAAAAGTAGTAACTAAAATGACCTCATTCACCTCCTTGTTTTTAGCTAGCAAAATCACGGCTGGTCTGTTTACACATTTAAACCATATTTACACTTCAAATTTTGACTCCACCTCGTTGTACCAGCATACCAAGGGTCTTAAGAAGTGAGCCAAGTTGTCTCATCACGTTTTTAAAGCGTTTCCAGAGATCGTCAGCTCATCACAGCAGTGGCTAAATGCTCATTCATTCCCAACGCTTAGCATGCTAATAGCGATTTATATGCTAACGCATCTAAAGCACAGTTAAACTTTAAATATCAACTCCACACAATAGCAGTACAATATCCTAGGTCTCAACAAGTAAACCCAGTATGGGAATATTATTTTAAACACATTTCACCGATCGGTAATGACATCGGCGGCAGTCCTAACTTACGCTAACGTTACATTGGCTCGCTGTTTCACTGCTAACTGATTACTGTATAATATATAAGCTGCCTTTTCAATGTAGCACATAATTTTACAAACAATAAAGTTTGTCTAACCTTATAATATTGTGTGAATGTCCGTCCGTCCGCTCACTCAAACGCCGCTCAGTCCGAATGAATGAATGACACTGACCGTGGCTGTGGCTTTGGGGGTGGGCGGGACATGCGGCGAGCTGTCGAATCACAGCACAGCACCCAAATGGAACAGACCAATGGGGTTGACCTGGCCTTCACCCATTGGCCTGTTCCATTTGAGCATGAGCCAATGATAGCCTCTGAAATCGGTAGGTGGGGACATTTATGTGGAACACAGGTACAGAGACGAAGGCTGTCCCAGAGCAGAGGCGCTCCCCCAGCGTTCTTCTCTGTTTTGGT